GAATGGATAAACAAACTATGGTACATACACACAATGGAGTATTATGTAACGAGAAAGAACAATGTTGAATCTGTGAAGCATCTCATGACATGGATGAAACTGGACAACATTATGCTGAGTGAAATAAGTCAGTCACAAAAGGACAAATATTGTATGAGACCTCTATTATAAAAACTCAGGAAAAAGTTTACACACAAGTAACAATCTTTGTCGGTTACAAGGGATGGGAGGGGTTAGGGGGGAATACTAAATAGACAATAGATAAGTGGTAACTTTGGTGAAGGGTAAGACATTACGCAATACTGGGGAAGCCAGCACAACTTGTCCAAGGCAAGGTCATGGAAGCTCCATAGACACATCCAAACTCCCTGAGGGACTGAATTGCTGGACAGAGGACCATGGTTTTGGGGAACATATAGCACAATCGGCGTAACAGTTTATAAAGACAATGTTCTACATTATACCTTGGTGAGTAGTGTCTGGGGTCTTAAAACCCTGTGAGCAGCCATCTAAAATACTCCACTGGTGTCACCCCTTTGGGAGCAAGGGAGAATGAAGAGAACACGACACAAGGAAAAGATTAGTCTGAAGGACTAATGGAGCACAGCTACCAAGGCCTCCACCAGACTCAGTCCAGTACAGCTAGATGGTGCCCGGCTACCACCACTGACTGCTCTGACTGGGACCATGACAGAGGGTTCAGGATAGAACTGGAGAAGGATATAGAACAAAATTCTAACACACAAAAGAAGGCCAGATTTACTGGCCTGACAGAGACTGGAGAAACCCAAAGAATATGGCCCCCAAACACCCTTTTAGCTCAGTGGTGAAGTCACTTCCGAGGATCAACGTTCAGCTGGGGAGTGGACAGCCACATAAAACAAAATGGGACTCATGAGGCACAGCAGTCCAGGGACAAGGACTAGAAGGCAGGAGGGGACAGGAAAGCTGGGAAAGTGATAGGGAACACAAGGTTGAGTAAGGACAGCGTTGACATGTAGTTGGGTTGTTAACCATTGTCATAGGGCAACATGTGTACTAACTGTTTAATGAGAAACTATTTTGTTCTATAAACCTTCATCTAAAGTGAGAATAGCAGCACAACTGGAAGAACACAATCGATGTCACTGAATTGTGCATGTAGAAATTTTTGAAAGAGTGTATCTTTGGCTATGTATATTTTCACCAAAAAAAAAAAAAAGTCAAGAAGGGAGAGAGTTGACCTGTCATGGGGTTGTTAACCAATGTCATAAAACAATATGTGTACTGTTTAACGAGAAACTATTTGTTCTGTAAACCTTCATCTAAAGTACAATAAAAAAATAAAAAAAAAAAAAAAAGAATGAAGTGTTTGTGAGGTAGGGAGTCAAGAAGAATTGGGAAATTCAGAACGCAAAGATTAAATTTCCTAAACGAAGAACGACAGTGTGACATGCAATAGAAGAAAGAAATGGAAAAACAGAGTTTTGATTTGACTCATTATTTTCAGGGCAGAGACATTCTAGGTCCTTCTTTGCTGACTGATGCTTTTTCCCTGACTACCCAGAATATATAAAACCCCATGCCCAGCCATCTACAGACCCTTTCATCTCTATAACTGATAACTATTTGGTGGAAGACTGCAAGGGAACGTTTTCCTCACTCATAGCTTAGCCCAACAAAATTCCATTTGGGAAAAGGAATAGGACAAATTGACATTATCACTGTCATGGATTGAATTGTGTCCCCCAAAAAATGTGTGTAGCAACTTGGCTGGGTCATGATTCCCAGTATTGTATGATTGTGTTATCTGTTGTAATGTAAACTCTATCACTATGATGAGATTATATGTGATCTCCTTATGTGTTGTAAATTCTATCACTGTGATGAGGTTATACTGATGAGGTTGACAAGATTAGATAGTGTTTTAATGCAATCTCTTTTGAGATACAAAAGACGGAAGTGAACAGAGACACATAGGAACCTCGTACCACCAAGAAAGCAGTGCTGGGAATAAAGCGTGTCCTTTGGACCTGAGGTTCCTGCGCAGAGAAGCTCCCAGACCAAGGGAAGACTGATGACATGGACCTTCCTCCAGAGCCGATGGTGAAAGTGTTCTCCTGGAGCTGAAGCCCTGAATTTGGACTTGTAGCCTACTGGACTGTGAGAGAATAAACTTCTCTTTGCTAAATCCATCCACTTGTGGCATTTCTGTTGGAGCAGCACTAGTTGACTAAGACAATCACTAAACTATCACAAATGTTCTTTTGGGGGCGGGGTGCTGTTGGAAATAGCTAGAAGTTTCTATAAATATTTCAAGTTCAAGTAAATAGTTTAACTGAATTGAGTAATCCCAATGAGTCCCAATGATGTGCTGAAACAGGAGGTTTCCGGAATGCGTTTCTCACAAATACCCAGAGACTATAATTTCATTAAACGAAAACTGCCTAACTTTTCAAACTAGATTTTTTTTTTTTGTGGTCATCATATGGTCATATAAGAATAACTATAGTATTTACCTACAGAATTGTTAGGAAGTAAAGCAGATCATGTATTTAAAATACTTAAAATACATGGTAAGCCTTCAATATATAAGAACTAAACAAACAAACAAAAGAAGAGAAGTCAAACAAAATCATCAACCCCTGAATCCCAGAGTCAACAGCTTGTTATCCCACTTCATGCAAAAAATATCTCTGTAATCTGGAGAGAGGTAAGTTACTGATGTGAAATGGAGGCCAACATGATGCCTTCCAAATCACTCAGTGTCTACTGGGCAAGGGGCTGGTGTTTGCTGATACCCCATCCAGAGCCGTTTGTATTCAGTCCATCAGTCCCCGGCTTCCACTTACTTCTTTAGGAGCATAAGCACCAAATCCAAGGACTGGCATGAAATGTCCATCATTCAGTCTCACAGAATGTATACGATTGAGGTCCATCACTGTCTCAGTCCTGGCTAACCTGACTCTGTCCTTCCTTCGTCTTCCCAACTGACCGCCAGCCTCAGTGGAGAGAAGGCAGCAGCCTTTCCTTCCTTTATACCAACCGCAAGGAAGAGAGGCAGGGCAGAGATTCAGCAGCCAATGAGTTCAAAATGGAACTGGAATCAATCCTTTGACGTTAAGTAATTCTTTCAAGTCACCACAGGCATACCTTATGGGAATGGTGCACAGAAATATTATCCACGCTAACAGACTTTGAATGTTCTCTTCAACATTGCCCACAATTGATTGCTAAGTTAACAACAACAACAAGAAAAATATGTCAATTTGTCCTTGATAATTATATCAGGCTTCCTTTACACGATTCAAAGTAATCATTAGGCTGATCATTTCTAAGTTCAGGATCTTAGTTAAGTTCCTCACCCTCCACTTCATCACAAATCCCACACAAAAAAATAATTACTTAGAATTTCTTGAACAAAACTTGAAGCCTGGTCCCAGGCACACATGAGATGTAATAAATTTCCTTGGGAACTTCCCATTCCTGGTTCCATTATCTTTTTCCCCATTCCACCTTCTGATTCTTTGTGTTCTCTTATTTCCTTGAAACCGTTTGGCGTTTTCTTGAATTTATCTGAAATCAGAGATTTCTGTGTTTTTATATTTGTTCCAGCTATTGCCTCTTCCTGTAATAGCCTGCTTTCCTACCCTTTCCTTCCATCAGCCATGTGAAGTCTTACTTATCCTCAAAGCATGTGCTCCAGGCTCGCGTCATTTATGATGCCTTCTATGACCTTGCCAGATAAAGTTGATCACTCTTTCCTGCATGCTCTCACATAATTATAGCTTCTATTAATGCAGCTTAGAAAAAAAAAAAAAAACTCATTAGTGAAATTACATTCGAACCTAACCTATTATGCAAGATAAACCCCCTATGTGGAGTTTTCTTTAATGTTACTGTTATGCTATGCTTCCCCCAATCTGTATTTGTGCCATCGGTATTTTAGAACCAATTACAGAACATAACATTATTCTTTGTTAAATTTATCTTATTACTTTTCAACCCTTCATTTGGCTGATCAAGGCCAGAATCCTGTTACAAACCTTACAATTCTGTGATAATCCTGTTACAACATGTTACAAACATTTCTAATGCTCCCTGTAATATTTATCTGTATTTTGCACTAAATGCTCTGTTGAATTGCAGTAGGGAGCAATCCCATCCGAGAGGCAACTATTGATTATATAGGAGAAAGAGAAGATAATAACTGGGGAAATGTTTTGAGTGGGTGAGGATATGTCAACTAATGCATGAGTAGAGGGGTGGCCTTAGATAGGAACTTAGGGAGTACATTCATAGCATCAGGAGAGCAGGCAATCCATACAGGCATACATATATGCAGTTGGTAAATGTGATGGTGGGCAATTACTTCTATTTCTCAGTGCAATAAAAAGCAAGGTCATCAGTTGAAAATGAAGGTGCTGGAGAAGTTCTTGGAAGTTTGGCTCAAAGAGGAAAAGATGTGAAATCATCATCTAGAAAAACAGATGAGTACTTTAGGGAAATGTAATATGATTGTGGCTTCTGTTAAAGTTACCATTTGAAAAACAAAGCTCAGTCCTGTTTGTTATGTTAAGAGTGTTCCTACAACTGGCCTTAGAAAAACTTCAGTGAGTTGTTAAATTAGAGCCTATAGATAAACATGTTGTTTTAACTACCTTAAAGCACCTAGGCATTATCTCTTTTCTCTCAGTTAAATAAGTGGAGTTTATTTACACTTTCCTAACTAGTGGTCATTTCTGTACCCAAACAGTTCAATTAAGTTGGCCCAGCTGCAATTATATCACTAACTTGCATATCACTAAACTTTCATGTCAAAATTGTTTATACTTTTCATTTAAGAAATATTACCTTAGTTAAAATGTATCAAGTCTGAGAGATTTGTGTTAGACTAGAAACTGATACAAAGAAAGTTTCACAGTTAATTGCCACCTTTGTAAATCTCATCTCCTTTCCTGCCATTACTTTGATGGGAAGTTATTATCTGTACTCACTCTACTTGTTAAATATGTCTTTGCATTGCCTGTAAGGCAAAGCATACTGCTATAGCTAAACTGAACACTTACTCTCCTGTGGCTCATTTCTTCAATAAATTTAGTTCGTATAAATATCAAATTAGAGTGTTGGTCCAGTGACTTCACGAGGACAGTTTCAACCAGTTGATACCAAAACAAAGAACCTGTGCAACTCAGGTAAGTACAGGCAACCTGGTTTGTGTTTGTGCCATCGAAACTCTCTGTTCGCTGTGAACTAACAATATTTTTTAGAGAGGGAGGTTGAAGTTAATACTACAGGTGAAGCTTTACAGAACAAATAGTTTCCATTAAACAGTAGTATACATATTGTTTTATGACATTCGTTAACAACCCCATGACATGTCAACCCTCTCCCTTCTCGACCTTTTTTTTTTTTGGTGAAAATATACATAGCCAAAGATACACCATTGCAAAAATTTCTACATGCACAGTTCAGTGACATTGACTACACTCTTCCAATTGTGCTGCTGTTTTCACTTTAGATGAAGGTTTACAGAACAGAATAGTTTCTCATTAAACAGTTAGTACGCATGTTGCCCTATAACAATGGTTGACAACCTCACAACACATCAACACTATCCTTACTCAACCTTGGGTTCCCTATCACCAGCTTTCCTGTCCCCTTCTGCCTTCTAGTCCTT